TTCCTACGGATGTCCTAGTCCTGAAACACTCTCTGCTTCATTCAGAAAAAATGCTTCACTCGCAAAGCTCAGATGGTGTTGAATTTCAGTGTAAATGTTGACACTGTGCCCCTAAAACTTGTAAAAGTGAAGTGCATACTGTAAATTTCAATACATTTATGATGCATGTATTTTCAGTCATTTGTTTCTTGCATTTCTATCTCACTGTAGCAAAAATGCATATATCAATTTATTTGGAAAAAACAACAAGAGATGTGGTATTATAATTTCCTATTTACTAATCAGCAACCCTGTGGAATACTGTTTAATCCTTCCTTTCAATTTCCCTTCCTCAATGTAAATACTCCTGCTATCATCTCACACAAAAACACACCAGAGAAAAAGATTCATAGCTGAAGAGCTGACTATTCATGTTTATAGATTGGATGCTTGACTTTTAAAACTTCCAGGATATCAATTCTATTTTAGCCCTTCATTTAGGACACCGTACTGCAGCAGGTGCCACGTGTATTCATCTGCTGTTTGTTTCCAGTCACATCCCTAGCATTATCAGTATTTTTGCCAGCTAAGCTGTAATTGCTGAGGTTGCATAACTCAAAGCTTTAAAAAAAAGAAGGAAAAAGAAAAAGAATTGTAGTGATTGGAAGTGTTCTTTCAGAGTAGGTATTTTGATTCAATCTCATAAATTGATTTGATTTACATTTTGATTCAGTCTCCTAAATTGATTTGTTTCCTTCTTATTTGGAGGAATTAAAAGGTACGCTGTAGTGCAATGGCTAGAGTGCTGGATTTGTATAGATGAAATCTGTATTCAAATCTTAATCTATGTATGGCATTCACTGAGGCCCCTTCTACATTGCCAGATAAAATCCAGATTATCTACTTGATATTCTTGGTTACATGGTTGTGTGGAAGCGATCACCTGTGATCAGATCCTGGAATATAGGGCAGTGTGCTGGTATGGTTGTACCAAGAGCTCCAACTTTATTTTCTTCCTGTTATCTGTTTTGCAGTCATAGGACAGGCCTCCTGTCCGTCATAATTAAGCTTTGGTTCCGCCCCTTGTTCTGGGCTCTGGGAGAGAAAGGAGCCATTTTTGGACAGTCTCACACAAGGTAGCTAAGCTATAGGACATAGACCAGCTCGTCCTGTAGAAAAGCTTCCTTTCTCAATAACCATCCAAGGAAAAAGGAGCATCCAGAGAAAAATAACATCTGGGGATACAGAAGCAGAAATTCCAGGAGAAAGGTCCCAAAAGCTCTGGCAGAGAGCTCACAGCCTCTCAGCCTCACAGCATCAGAGGGAACAGCCCTGAAGTTTCTAAGAATTCTCAAAGGGAGAACAGCATTACAGATCCACGGAACTCCAGCTGAAATATCTTCAAGCCTCGGCTGGTAGGTCTACTCGATACCCAGACACATTTGGAGTCGGTAGTAGGTCCCAAACCGATGAGGCACAGATAGAAAGCAGCCTGGAAGAGGTTAAAAAGGGTTTTTCCTACAGAGAAAGTTTAGTTAATCAAAGTTATATGCCAGTCCATTGAGGACTAGACTAAGAAAGCCTTGAAGTGTTGTTTGAACCATTGAAGATTTGTTGTTTGTTCCATAATAAAGACTTTGTTGCATCATTAAAGACTCTAAACACCATCACTTCAGAAAAATCCCTGAGAACCTCTCTTTGAGGCGCCCCTGGCTTCCCGCTGGGCTTAAAGTATACATCCTATAGAAAAGTACAGCTGTTACAGGCCCAGTGCGCGACAGAACAGGCAGGGCCCTTCCACACAATCATATATCCCAGAATATCAAGGCAGATAATCCACAATATCTGCTTTGAAGTGGATTAGCTAAGTCTACAGTGCCATATAATCTGGGATATGCAGATAATCTAAGGAGTCCCCGGTTGCACAGTGGGTTAAACCCCTGTGCCGGCAGGACTGAAGACTGACAGGTCACAGGTTCGAATCCGGGGAGAGGCAGATGAGCTCCCTCTATCAGCTCCAGCTCCTCATGTGGGGACATGAGAGAAGCCTCCCACAAGGATGATAAAACATCAAAACATCTGGGCGTCCCCTGGGCAACGTCCTTGCAGATGGCCAATTCTCTCACACCAGAAGCAACTTGCAGTTTCTCAAGTCGCTCCTGACACGACAAAAAAGCAAAAAAAAAGCAGATAACCTGTGATCAGATCCTGGGATATAGGGCAGGGCCCTTCCACACAATCATATAACCCAGAATATTAAGGCAGATAATCCACAATATCTGCTTTGAAGTGGATTAGCTAAGTCTACACTGCCATATAATCTGGGATAAGAAGATAATCTGGGATCAGATCTGGGATATAGGGCAGGGCCCTTATCTCAGATTATATGGCAGTGTGGACTCAGATAATCCCATTCAAAGCAGATATTGTGGATTATCTGCTTTAGTATTCTGGGTTATATTTATTTATTTACGATATTTCTATCTCGCTTTTCTCAAGCCTGGAGGTTTGCCATAACAACCCACAATATACAATTAAAACATTTAAAACAGTATTATAGAATCAATACAATACAAAAAAAACCCCCATATAAAACATATAATGATTAATGTCTTGCTATTAATCTCACTTTCCAGTAGCATCGTCTAAGCTGTTCTATATTTCAAACTTACATAATTCAAACTACAAGAGAGGAGATTCCATCTGAACATGAGGAAGAACTTCCTGACTGTGAGAGCCGTTCAGCAGTGGAACTCTTTGCCCCGGAGTGTGGTGGAGGCTCCTTCTTTGGAAGCTTTTAAACAGAGGCTGGATGGCCATCTGTCAGGGGTGATTTGAATGCAATATTCCTGCTTCTTGGCAGGGGGTTGGACTGGATGGCCCATGAGGTCTCTTCCAACTCTTTGATTCTATGACTCTATGATTCTATGTTTGTCTATTGCACTGCATTTCCAAAGGCTTGTTCAAAGAGTCAGGTTTTCACTTTTTTTTTTTGGACAGTCAGGAGGGAGGAGACCGATCTAATATCCCTACAGAGGGAGTTCCACAGCCGAGGGGCCACCACTGAGAAGGCCCGGTCCTATATCCCAGGATCTGATCCCAGATTATCTGTTTTTCCCCAGATTATATGGCAGTGTGGACTCGGCTAATCCAGTTCAAAACAGATAGTGTGGATTATCTGCCTTAATACTCAGGCTTATATGACTGTGTGGAAAGGCCCTGCCCTATACCCCAGGATCTGATCCCAGATTATTTGTTTTCCCCAGATTATATGGCAGTGTGGACTCAGCTAATCCAGTTCAACGCCGATAGTGTGGATTATCTGCTTTGGTATTCTGTGTTATATGACTGTGTGGAAAGGCCCTGCCCTATATCCCAGGATCTGATCCCAGATTATCTGATTATCTGTGTGGAAAGACCCTGCCCTATATCCCAGGACCTGATTCCAGATTCTCAGTATATCCCAGATTATATGGCAGTGTGGACTCATCTGATCCAGTTCAATGCTGATATTGTGGATTATATGCCTTGGTATTCTGTGTTATATGACTGCGTGGAAAGGCCCTGCCTTATATCCCAGGATCTGATCCCAGATTCTCCGCTTATCCCACATTATATGACAGTGTGGACTCAGATAATCCAGTTCAAAGCAGATAATGTGGATTATCTGCCTTGATATTCTGGACTATACGGCTGTGTGGAAAGGCCCTGCCCTATATCCCAGGATCTGATCCCAGATTCTCAGTTTATCCCAGATTATATGGCAATATGGACTCAGCTAATCCAGTTCAACACAGATATTGTGGATTATTTGGAATTCAGAATTATATGGCTGTGTGGAAGGGCCCTGGAGGTGTTCCTCATTTGTATTTATTTATTTATTTATTTCGGTTACTTCTACCCCGCCCTTCTCACCCCGAAGGGGACTCAGGGCGGCTTACAAAGGCACAATTTGATGCCAACATCACATCACAGTAGTAAACAAATAGCAGCAATTAACAATTAAACAACAGTTCCTCTCATTACAACAATAAAACCAATAAAACCAATACAAACCCAATTACTCCTCATTGACGGTCAGCGTTCGCTATCTCATAGTCCAAATTCCAATTCCACATTGTCAGTCCTGTCAGTCCTATCGTCTGATTGTCCTTATCTAGTTGTCAGATTGCCCAAAGGCCTGGTCCCACAACCACGTCTTTACTTTCCTCCTGAAGGAGAGGAGGGATGTTGATGCCCTAATTTCCCCCGGGAGTGAGTTCCACAGGTGAGGGGCCACCACTGAGAAGGCCCTGCTCCTCGTCCCCACCAACCTCACTTGTGATGGTGGCGGAGTCGAGAGCAGGGCCTCCCCAGAATGATCTCAAACTCCGGGGTGGGACGTAGAGGGAGATACGTTCGGACAGATACACTGGACCGGAACCGTATAGGGTTTTGTAGGTCAAAACCAGCACCTTGAATTGTGCTCGGAACTGAACCGGCAGCCAGTGGAGCTGACACAGCAGGGGGGTGGTGCTCCCTGTATGACGCTCCAGTGAGTAATCTGGCTGCTGCTCGCTGGACCAGTTGAAGTTTCCGAACAGTCTTCAAAGGCAAACCCATGTAGAGTGCGTTGCAGTAGTCTATTTGGGAGCGTGGACCACTGTATCCCAGAATATCAAGGCAGGTAATCCCACAATATCTGCTTTGGACTGGATTATCTGAGTCCCCTTGACTTTATTTTCACAGCTGGGTCTCTTCAAGGGTTGTGGGTTGATGAGTGGCAGGTGTTTCATTCCTGGCTTGTGAGGTAACAAACAGGAGGCTGAGGGCTTGAGGCCAGGCTGTTAGGAATTCTGGGAGTTGAAGTCCAAAACACCTGGAGGGCCGAAGTTTGCCCATGCCTGCCCTAAACTTAACTGAGGGCCGCCTCCTGAGGGGACATCGCTAAAGAAAGAGGCGCCGCGACATGATTGGCCCTCGCGCGGCACGTGACCGATGCTAGGCAACACGTGCGACTGGGCTCCCGGCGCGCGGGGGTCTCAGTCAGTCTGGGTCTGAGGCGGCGAAGGTGCGGCAGGGCGGAGGCGGCGCTGCTCCTCTTTCCAGGTAAGTCTGCCAGCCAGGCTTTTGCTTGTCAGCTGGATACAGTCACGGCCCTCAGGGCTTGCTAAGTATCAAAGCAGGGCTGCCTAGGTATCCATCTCCTCCTCCTTTTTCCATTCATTCTGTTGGTCAAAAAAAGGGGGTGTGTTAGAAGCTTAACTCCATTCAATGTGGCCTGCATTAAAAAGAGCCCCCCCCTCTAATTCTGAGGAAAGTGATGGCATTTGTATCCTTCTGCTTTGAATGCAGATTTTCCTTTTGTGAGAGTCCTCAGCTCAAGGAGTATTGGAAGACATAGGGGATATTACTTAGAGATGCTCAGAGTATTGATTGTATGAAGGCATTTTTGTATGTGTGTATGTATATATGTGTGTGTATGTATGTATGTATGTATGTATATATATGCATTTCCTTCTCGCTTCCCTCCTTCCCCCCTTTTCTGTATACTATACAATCTATATAAATAAAAATGTAATGTTCGTTTGTGGGATTAACAGAACTCAAAAACCACTGGACGAATTGACACCAAATTTGGACACGATACACCTAACAAACCAATGTATGTCATTCGCTCAAAAAAAAAAAAGAAAAGAAAAGAAGAGATTTTGTCATTTGGGAGTTGTAGTTGCTGGGATTTATAGTTCACCTACAATCAAAGAGCATTCTGAACCCCACCAATGATGCTATTGAACCAAATTTGGCACACAGTTCTCCCATGACCAACAGAAAATTCTGGAAGGGTTTGGTGGGCAGTGTCCTTTGGTTTTGGAGTTGTAGTTCACCTACATCCAGAGATCACTGTGGACTCAAACAATGATGGATCTGGGGCAAACTCTACAGGAATACTCAATATGCCCAGATGTGAACACTGGTGGAGTTTGGGGGAAATAGAATCTTGACGTTTGGGAGTTGTAGTTGCTGGGATTTATAGTTCACCCACAATCACAGCATTCTGAACCCCACCAACGATGGAATTGAACCAAATTTGGCACACAGTTAGACCATGACCAACAGAAAATACTGGAAGGGTTTGGTGAGCAGTGTCCTTTGGTTTTGGAGTTGTAGTTCACCTACATCCAAAGATCACTGTGGACTCAAACAATGATGGATCTGGGGCAAACTCTACAGGAATACTCAATATGCCCAAATGTGAACACTGGTGGAGTTTGGGGAAAATAGAATCTTGACATTTGGGAGTTGTAGTTGCTGGGATTTATAGTTCACCTATAATCACAGAGCATTCTGAACCCCATCAGTGATAGAATTGGGCCAAACCTCCCACACAGAACCCCCAGGTGGGCCACAGCAATGCGTGGCAGGGGACAGCTAGTATAATCTATATAAATAAAAATGTAATGTTTGTTTGTGGGATTAACATAACTCAAAAACCACTGGAGGGAATGACACGAAATTTGGACACAACACTCCTAACAGACTAATGAGTCTCCATCACTCATAACCCATAAAAAACATTGGAAAGGACATAAAAACCCCCAAAAGATAAATGATGAAAAGATAAATGACATGCAGAAAAAAGGTGAAGAAAGAGGGGGGGGGGAGGAAGGGGAAAAGAAAGAAGGAAGGAAAGAGAGATGGAAGCAAAGAGCATAGGAAGGAAGGAAGGAAGGAGAGAAAGAGGAAAAGTAGAGGGATGGAAAGAAATGGGTAGAGAAAGAAGGCAGGAGAGAAGGAAACCAAAAAGGAAAGGAAGGATAGAGGGAGCAAAGGAAATAGAGAAAGAAAGAGAAAGAGGGAGGGAAGGAAAGACAAAAGGAAGGATGGAAGCAAAAAGCAAAGGAAGCAAGGAAAGAGGCAGAGAAGGAAAAGAAAAAGGGAGGAAGGAAAGAGGTAGAGAAGGAAAGAGGAAAAGGGAAGGAGGGAAAAAAAGAGAGAAAGAGGGAGAGAAGCTTGGCCACAGCAATGTGTGGCAGGTACAGCTAGTAAAGCATATAAAATGTAATTGGCTCTCCAGAGGCAGTTTTGTGGCATTCCCCCTGAAGGGCAAGAGGAAGGATGCTCCGCTAGATCCAAATGAATGGAAATGAAATGGATCTTGTGATCTGTACTGTGAATTTTAAGCAGAAGACTACCATGGAGGAGAAGACAGCATTTTGGAGGAAGGTCTTTAAACAGACAGTGAACAGGAAGCTGATTACACAGCCTATTCATTTATTTACGACATTTATATGCTGCTCTTCTCATCCCAAAGGGGACTCAGAGCGGCTTAGAAGATATACATACATACAATAGATTATATTATTAGCATAGTACAATATCAATATTATATATGCATACACACACACATTTATCGTGTCATCAGCAACCATTGTATTACAATTCTAACAGAGCAAAACAAACACAGAGATTAAAAAGGAAAAAAAAACCACACAGATTTTGCAAATTTGGTATTTGGTTAAATGTCCTTTGACCAGTATCTGGCCACTTGGAGTGCCTCTGGGGTTGCCGCAAGAAGGTCCTCCATTGTGCATGTGGCAGGGCTCAGGTTGCATTGCAGTAGGTGGTCAGTGGTTTGTTCTTCTCCGCACTCGCATGACGAGGATTCCACCCTGTAGCCCCATTTCTTAAGATTGGCTCTGCATCTCGTGGTGCCAGAGCGCAGTCTGTTCAGCGCCTTCCAAGTCGCCCAGTCTTCTGAGTGCCCAGGGGGGAGTCTCTCATCTGGTATCACCCATGATGAGGTGCTGGGTTTGGGCCTGCCACTTTTGGACTCTCGCTTGCTGGGGTGTTCCAGCGAGTGTCTCTGTAGATCTAAGAAAACTATGTCTTGATTTAAGTCAGGGGTCGGGAACCTTTGGCCCTCCAGGTGTGGTGGACTTCAACTCCCACAATTCCTTGAGGCTCGGCATTCGCCCCAAAGGCTTACCTTGGCCCAACGAGGTTTGTTTGGCTCTTTTTCATGGAGGACGGGCAGCAAAGGGGGAGAGACGAGCGTAACGTAGCTGTGCAGATGGCGAGGAAGGATGCGGAGCCTACAGACTGGCCTCGGAGGGAGAGAGCGGGCGGAAACCCCTGCGGGCAACGCGCCTCCTCGCCGCTTAAACAGCGCAGAGCCCTTTCCCTCCAGCCTTCGCCTTCCCTTTTCCCCGACAAGCTCTGCACGACGTCACTCAGCCGGCGTCGTTGCTAGGGAGGGGGTCCATGCGGGGCGGGTGCTAAGGGCCGAAGCGGCGAGGAAGCGCGTTGCCCGCAGGGGTTTCCGCCCGCTCTCTCCCTCCGAGGCCAGTCTGTGGGCTCCGCATCCTTCCTCGCCATCTGCACAGCTACGTTACGCTCGTCTCTCCCCCTTTGCTGCCCGTCCTCCATGAAAAAGAGCCAAACAAACCTCGTTGGGCCAAGGTAAGCCTTTGGGGCGAATGCCGAGCCTCAAGGAATTGTGGGAGTTGGCTGATACCCAAACAGGGATGAGCTGGAGATGTCTCTGCCTTGGTCCTTTCACTATTGGCTGCTACTTCCCGGCGGATGTCAGGTGGTGCAATACCGGCTAAGCAGTGCAATTTCTCCAGTGGTGTGAGGGCGCAGACACCCTGTGATAATGCGGCATGTCTCATTAAGAGCCACATCTACTGTTTTAGTGTGGTGAGATGTGTTCCACACTGGGCATGCATACTCAGCAGCAGAGTAGCATAGCGCAAGGGCAGATGTCTTCACTGTGTCTGGTTGTGATCCCCAGGTTGTGCCAGTCAGCTTTCGTATGATGTTGTTTCTAGCGCCCACTTTTTGTTTGATGTTCAGGCAGTGCTTCTTGTAGGTCAGAGCACGGTCCAAAGTGACTCCCAGGTATTTGGGTGCGCTGCAATGCTCCAGTGGGATTCCTTCCCAGGTAATCCTCAGAGCTCGGGATGCTTGTCTGTTCTTAAGGTGAAAGGCGCATGTCTGTGTTTTAGATGGATTAGGGATCAGTTGGTTTTCCCTGTAATAGGCAGTAAGAGCACCTAGAGCTTCGGAGAGTTTCTGTTCTACCATCTCAAAGCTCCCTGCTTGAGCAGTAATGGCACGATCATCAGCATAGATGAAACTCTCTGTCCCTTCTGGCAGTGGCTGGTCATTTGTGTAGATGTTGAACATGGATGGAGCAAGCACGCTCACCTGAGGCAGGCCGTTCTTCTGTTTCCGCCATCTGCTTCTCTGGCCCTGGAACTCAACAAAAAAGCTCCTGTTTTGTAGCAGGTTTCCTATGAGGCGGGTGAGGTGGTCGTCCTTTGTGATATTATACATTTTTCTCAGGAGGAGGCGGTGGTTCACAGTATCATAGGCTGCTGACAGGTCTATGAAGACAGCTCCGGTGATCTGCTGCCTTTCAAAGCCATCTTCTATGTGCTGAGTCAGGTTCAGCACTTGCGATGTGCAGCTTTTGCCTTTTCTGAAGCCAGCTTGCTGTGGGATCAGACAGGGGTCTATTTTTTCCATAATTCTATGCAAAATAAGTCTCTCCAGAACTTTGTAGAGGTGGCACAACAGGGAGATTGGTCTGTAGCTTTTTGGGTCATTACGGTCTTTGCCTGGCTTCAAGATGGCGATGACTCTTGCTTTCCTCCAGATTTTGGGGATCTGACAGGATGCAGTGCAGTTGTTCATCAGCTCCAGCAGCCAGCGCCTTGCTTTTGGACCAAAGTTCTTGATTTGTTCCATCCGTAGATCATCCAGGCCAGCTGCTTTGCCATTTTTACATTTATTGAGAGCCATGTCCAATTCAGTAGATGTAAAAGGTTCATGAAGGTTGTTGTTCTCAATCTCTGGTTGTCTGGCTATTGGTTTCTTTCCTACTTTGGTGGCAAGGTTGGGTTTCCCATTCTTCAAGAGTTGGTGTGCTATCTGATCTGCCTTTATGTTGGCATGGGTATTAGTTTGTGAGGGATCGTTGCTCAGCCGTCTCAGCAGCCTCCACGCCTTCTGGCTGCTCCTGCCCATGTCGACCTCTGTGATCAACTTGATCCACTGTTCTTTCTTGGCTTCAGAGATGGAGGACACAATGCTCTGCGCTG